GTACAGGCGGGACAGGTACATTACCGTGGTCGTTGTAGCAGCATGCAACAGGACGTTGGACCCAGAGAGTGCAGTGTCACAGTGGTCCTGGTTGGAACACTTTATGGGCGTCTTCTGTACTATGACGAAGTCATCATCGCCACGGTCATCAGTGTTAACAAACGTAGGAGCCATCTTCGGTGCTATATTTTGCACATGCACACATTTGTGTATGTTACTAATTGATTTACTATAAAGACATTTATTATTGTAAAAATAAAGTCTAATTTAGAAATTACCTTTTTGGAACCTGTTCAAAATGGTACATTTAAATGCAATATACATCTACATTCAAGTCCCAAATAATCCCGAGCTAGGTGCGAATACCGGAATATCTGTAATTACATAGGTCGTAAGTTAACATGTGGTTACCCTACACTAGGGTTGGGATAAGTAATTTGCGTACTGGCTCCGTTACCGGTTTTATTGTCGGTAGTTATCGGTTTTTACTGGTACCAATGGAATTGTTTCCGAGTTAGAGCAGAAATTACATGAGAACTGTAAGATTATATAGTTACTCGTATTAAGCTTTATAGATATGAGCTTTAATCTTAATAATATTATAAACGCGAAAGTTTATGAGTATGGATGTTTGTTACTCTTTCACGCAATAACTACTTAACGGATTTTGATGAAACTTTATAGTAACATAGCTTACGCATCAAAATAACCCATAGGCTATAATTTTTATTGAAATTTAACGCAGTTGAAACCGCGGGCACAGCATACATATATTATTACTAGTTTATCAGCGCAACCTCGTCTGCATCACACTTACTTGACATTTATCGTTATATTTCGCCCAATTTACATATTATCTTTTAAAATTATAGCCTATATGTAATTCTGATGCTATATTACTGTAAAGTTTCGTCAAAATTCGTTCAATAGTTTTTGCGTGAAAGAGTAACAAACATCCATCCATCATCATCATGGGCTAGCAGTTTAGCACACTGCCTTACCTCCTATATATATAGTCGTGGCTTCGATTCCTCGCACGGCAAAACATTTATATTGATGAGATTGTTTTATCAGTTTGTATGTTTTCTATATATATTATGTATATATTTACAAAAAACGTATATCTGTATTTATATCAGTTATCTGGTACCCATAACATAACCTTTACTTAGCTTGGGACTATATGGTGCTAAGTGAATGCTTTCTTGTGAGATAAAAAAAAATGTAAATTCTTTATTGTTCTCTTCATAGAATACAAACAAACATTTATATACATTATTAATATATAAATATGTGTAAACATACAACATTAATTTATAGAGATATTGTATTGTATAAAATTTGTTACCAAATTTCGTCAGTTGGACCGTCAGCTTGTTTGTCATTCCAATTATATAAAACATATTGCCTGAACCGAAGGCATAGACAATTAAAAAAGATTAATAACTGCAGATAAAAAAAATGTAATTTCTAAATATTGTTACATTTCATTCGAATTCTCTCTGGGACATCCCAAAGAGATTGCTCGCGTCAGATAATCGATAATTAGAAATCTCGAACAATAACTTTTTTTTAATTTATTGCTCTTTTTTTGCTAGGTTTTTAACTTTTTGCCACTCAAAACCACAGACTTAATGAGAAGTCGTCGCATATATATAATATTACTGTATTTTTTATATATTCTGTCATACTTACTTTACAATAATAAAACTTATACATATGTTATAAATTTCATGAGAATGAAACCCCGGGTACAGATAGTATATTCAAGTTCAAAATATCTTTATTCATGTAGGTTTATTACAGACTCTTATGATATGTCAAATCTACCGTCAGTTCGGAATGATTTCGAGATGAGAAGAACTGACAAGAAACTCCGCTCGTATTCTTTTCAAATAAATGTTGTACATGTTTACAATAATACAGATTCATTTTTAAATTCAAATTTGGGAAAATATTTGTATTTTCATGTAAAATTTCATTAAGATACGACATGTATGTATGCGACATTTGTATGTATGTGAAAATGTGATATACATAGTTCTAGATAGGCCAATAGGCTTAATTGTGACATTAATTAGTTAATATAAATTATGTAATAAATTTAAAAATTCAACACAATGTAAATTGTTATGAATAAATGAAATTAATGAATTGAATGATATGAATGAAATGAATGAAACGGCTGAAACGAATGAACGAATGAAACGAGTGAAATGAATGAAACGAATGAAACGAATGAAACGAATGAACGAATGAAACAAGTGAAACGAGTGAAGCGAGCGAAACGAATGAAACGACTGAAACTTGTTAAACGAGTGAGTCGAGTGAAACGAATGAAATGAATGAAACAAGTGAAACGAATTAAACGAAAGAAACGAATGAAACGAATGAAACGAATGAAACGAGTGAAAAGAGTGAAACGAATGAATGAATGCCAAGATCTTTTAAAATATCAGTAAAATCTAACAAACAAATTGAAGGGAGACGGGATTGTTAGTAATGTGGACTAATAACCCCATTGCTAGCAATGTACCACATCAGGTTGACCTCCACGTGGTTCTCCCTGGAAACCATCGTGTTAAATTCGTGGTGAATTTACCACGATGGCCTAATTGAGCTGACCTCATGCTTATTTTATTATCCTCCACTGGTGTACCGCCAGCGTAAACCGTTAGCGCAGGCGGGTGCATCATTCCATTATCATTCGTAAAAAAAAGCAAACAGATAGACAGACAGATACGTTTCTTATTATATATAATAAGATAACATTAAAAGAGTATAAAAGTCTTGTTAAATACACGAGAAAAATTACAATAACACAAGATCGTAGAAACTATAGAAAGTCCTCGAACCTTCTCCAAAAACTATTACTTTACTTTTTATATCTGATAAAAAAAAGCATAAAACCAAATCCTATATTGTACACGATTTCGCAAATGTCCATTCAAATAAAACTCTATTGGGATAAGAAATGAAAAAGTGTGATTTCCCCGAACCGCGGGTAATTTTTCACGGACCCACCATCCCGGCGTGTTTTTTTCCACCTCTTACAAAATGGCCGGCGGTTGTTATTGGACAAAAGCTATTTGTATGAAAAATCCTATTGTTCAATGAACAATATGTCAAAATGTTGCCAGCTTTTAGGTGGATTACTTATATAAACGCGGCCGAGTTGTTCACTGATACAGTAACCGGACGTCGCTCGGATTAAATTTGATGCTGGGTACATTAACGTTCAGTACATCTGTTTGACGGTGGTCTAGTTTAGTACACCGATTCACTACTGATGATCGCAGGTTCGATTCCAAACTACAAAAATTAGTATTAATACAGTTAAACAGGTTTTAACTATTTTTATTTGACTAGATTGCACTAAAAACATAAAATAATCATTATCACTACATAGTATAAACAAAAATGAAGAATGTTTACTAAGAAACTTTACTATAAAATAAAAATATATTTAGTTTAGTAGAATATTATTTAACCAAAGATTCATATATCGTTATAATGTACTATTTTCTTTTCTCAAACTTTCAGTTGGAGATTTGACAGTTGCCGAAGCTTGCCGAAGTTCTGAATTTGGTTTTATTAAAGTCACTGTCGCTGTCCGTCCGCCCATATATTTGCTTATATCTTTAAAACTACGCAACGGATACATATACACTTGTGCGAAGCCGGCGCGTGTAGCTAGTAAAATATAAAAGAAAATCTGTCAAAAGGTAGTTAAGATAGATATTAAATAAGTTTCCTATATACCTCCAGTTATATATTACATTGTGAAATATTTTGATTACAATGAAAATAGAAAGAAAGAAAGAAAAAAATATATTACGCAACAGTAAGTTATTATATAATAAAAATAGATAATTAAACACAAATTGAACACTAATGAGTACTATCAAAAAGATATCAGAATATGTCGTAATGAAGTATTACGACGTTGGTCTGTCGAGTATTTATATATTAACTACTTATACAAATTACAAATATCTATCAACACAATACAATCGTATCAATACAAATAAATATATTATTATTATTATTCTCTCTATCGTTTCATTCTCTCAGCTTATGCTGGCTTTTTTCCACACTTACGGGCCGAAATAAAAATAATTTTATTACCTTTTCTCTTTCTTTCTCTTCTAAAAGAAGGTAATACTCACCTACATTATTATTATTTGTATATTTTGTTTTCTCAGCTTTATTATTATTAAAAATTCAAAATTCAAAATTCAAAAATCATTTATTCATGTAGGACATTTTAGCCGCTTATGAACGTCAAATTTTTACATTATAATTTTATTTTTTTCCCTACCGTCCAGTTCGGTATATAGATCCAATTGAGAAGAACTGGCAAGAAACTCAATTGAACTACTTTTTTTTTTTAAAGCCAGTTTATTTACAATGTATATTTATATAGGTGTCTATGTCTAACATTAAATGAAAATTCAGTCCATGAACAACTATTGCCATGCACACTCGTCATTCAAGTAATCGTTTAGTGAGTAATAGGCTTTGCTCAGTAAATATGATTTAACAGATGTTTTGAATTTATTTAAGGGTAATTCCAACATATCCTTTGGTATCTTATTGTAAATTTTTATACCTATTCCCATAAAAGACCTATTAACTTTTTCTAAACGATACTTGGGGACAGCAAGTTTGTCTTTAAATCTAGTATTAATATTATGAATATTGCTGTTTTTTGGAAATAAGTCAAGATTTTTATGAACATATAGGATATTTGAATATATAAATTGAGAAGCAACGGTGAGAATATTTGCCTCTTTGAATTTCTCTCTTAATGAGTCACGACTCTTCATACAGTAGATCGCTCGAACGGCACGTTTTTGTAATATGAATATATTTTTAACCCTTAAGTTCATTTTGTATAGTATACCATACATACAACTTTATAAAATTCTATGATCACTATAAATTAATTTTTAACTTCGTTTTATTAACACATAACATTTCTGGACGTTTATTTATACTTCAAAAATAAAAATAGTCGTTTATCTGTCATAATTTTAAATCAGTTGTGAAAAATAACCATCAAGATGCGCCGCTCTGGTTTAACTAAGGTAAGTTTAATTTTATTTTTATGGTTTTACCCCTAAATATGTATGTTTATTATAAAATTCGCATGCCTAAAAGTTTGTTCTTACATATTTTTATATATATGCTGTTGTCGCTATGAGAATTAGCATGTTTTTGTCGTGTTTTTTACTAACGTATATTATACTATACAATGCCGCAGCTGCAGTAATCTACCTGTCGTCGATGCTGTATAGAATAATATACATTGCTAACTTCATGGGATCATAATGTTCTTGGACTTTCCTATAAAATTTAAATTGCAAGTAAATTTAAAATAAAGTTGTAGTGATGTTTGACTGCCTCGTTGATATAGTGGTTTTGGAAAGCGATAAACAAAGTTGTGGGTTTGATTCCCACAAAAAATACTACTATTATTATTACCGCATGACTATCTACCTATATAAAGAGACGAATATTATTACATACATTATTTACCTATGGTGATGGTTTTTTGCATGTTTCTTTTGCTTTGGTTTTAGACTGCTATGAGTGAAAGAGCTAGGCGTATTTTATCTTTGGTGCCTGAAAAGAATGCAAATTCCGACACAAGTGACGGCGCTAGTAGCGGTGATGAAGCTGGAATGATTGGATCAGCAGAGAGTTCTCCAGCGCCATCGATAAATTCCAGTCTCGAAAGGTTAAACCTCCTACAAATCTCTGATGATCAGATAGGAACGCATGTAGATGATATTTATGTCGATACAACCGATGTGCCTCTTACACCTATTCTTACTCAAGTATTTCCTAATCCATCAGAAAGTAATTATGACGCTCTACCCTCAATTTCATCTTTGCCATCTTTGCTTTCGAATCAACCAATTGCATCCACGCCTGTCAGGACACCTTTGACGCGCGCTCAAAAAATGAAGCGCAAATCTCCAGAAGCGCAAAATCGCAGAAAAATCTTTTCGTTGCCAAAGACCTCAATTTCAACACAAGGCTGAAATAGCAGGCCCTACATTTTTGGAACCTGTACCATCTGATTGGCCACCTCTAGATTATTTTTATAGATTTTTTACCGAAGAATTAGTAGATACTATTACCATTCACATAAATTTATAAAGCGTACAAAGAACATGAAGATCTATAACAGTTTCAAGGGAAGATATACTAGACATTTTGGCAATAAATGTTATGATGGGTATTGTAGTTTTGCCATCATACAAAGATTATTGGAAAAAGTCCTTTTGTTATGGCAAGGTAGCACATGTAACAGATCAGGTCAGATCAACGATTTTTACATTTTACCAATAATTCTGAAGCCGATACATTAGATAGATATTATAAACTACGTCCTATAATTGATAGCATTCGAACACAGTGTTTATCCGTAGAAGAAGAGAACGCTTTTAGTATTGACGAAATGGTTATACCGTACAAAGGGAAGAAGTCGTCGTCAATATAACCCAAATAAACCTTGTAAATGGGGCTTCAAGAACTTAGTCAGGACTGGTGTATCTGGCATCATTTACGACTTCTTGCTCTACGCGGGAGATGACACTTTTAGAGACATTACATTTACTGAAGAAGAAGAGACTGTGGGTGTTGGAAGCAAAATAGTTTTAGCATTATCTAAGGCCAGGCCAGGCAAGTACAATATGTGCACAAAATGTAAGGTTCACCTTTGTTATGTGAAGAATCGTAACTGTTTTTTGGAGTACCACCGCAAGCAGTAGGATGTTCAATTATTACAAATTATTATTATTCAAGAAATATTTTTTTAATAAACATTTTTTCTTCAATCAAGACAGTTATTTTTATTTAAAATCATGTAATAATCAAATAATAATAATCTTTTGGTATATGTTAAAAACTAATAGTAACATTCCAACTCTCCCTAAACATAGCAATGTATAGCATAATATACATTCCTAAAAATGCGATAATCACTACACGTGTAGCAATGTATAGAATAGTATACACCTTGTTTTTCCGAAATTATTATGTCACGATTTTTTTATTTATTTTTTTAATGTTTTATATAACCCAAAGAAGCTAACTATATACATTTTTTTTGCTATTTCTAAAAAAAGCAATCTTGCCACGATAAGGGTTAATATCTGCCGCTTTTCCCCATAGTAATATTCCATAAGAGAGTAAACTATGAAAATAACTAAAATAGACTAATCTAGCAGTATCAGTATCAGTGTACTGTCTAACCTTACGCACGGCAAAAGCTGCTGAACTTAGTTTCGCTGCAAGGCTTTGAATTTGTGCACCCTATTGTGTTTTATTATCTAGTGTGATTCCTAGAAAGACAGTAGATTCTATAAATTCGAGAGATTCGTCATTTAATTTAATATTGCAATTAGTATTAAAACTTTTAGACAGAGAGAAATTAATACATTTTGTTTTTTTAGCGTTTAACATAAGATTGTTAGTTGTAAACCAGTGCAGGAGACGCCGCAAAGCACTATTTACATCGTCATAATTATTAGTCATTCTATTAACTTTAAAAATCAATGAAGTATCGTCTGCAAATAATACTATGCCGCATCTATCCTGCATGGCATATGGGAGATCATTAATGTAAACTAGGAATAAAAATGGACCGAGAATAGATCCTTGAGGTACACCCATTTGCACAAGTGACCCGTCAGACGTAGCGTTGCTAACCTTCACTTTCTGTATTCTATCAGATAGATAAGATTTTATTAAATTTAAAGCATTGTCTTTGACGCCATAAAAAGCAAGTTTTTTTAGCAATGTATTATGATCAACGCAATCATTTTTCATTATTATTCTTAGTATCGTCTCACTCTCTCATTTTTTGCTGGGTTTTTACGCTTTGCGGCGTATACCACACTTATTATCTATCTATCTATCTTATATATATAAAAATCAATTGCTGTTCGTTAGTCTCGCTAAAACTCGAAAACGGCTGAACCGATTTGTCTAATTTTAGTATTGAAATATTCGTGAAAGTCCAGGGATGGTTTAAACGGTGTTAAATATGAAGAAACTGAAAAGAACAAATTTATTTTCCCATACAATTCTAATTCTTTACCAAATTAAAAAAAAATCGTGACATATTGAATACTGAGGCGGAATGGGGTTCGCGGTGTTAGCTATTATATATATATATATATATATATATATATCAACTAGCTGTCCCGGCAAACGTTGTTTTACCATATAAATTAATAACGCTATAAAAAATAGGGGTTGATGATAGAAGGGTAAAAATTTAGGATTTTTGTATGTTGTATCATAAAAAAATAGAAACTAAAAATAAAAATAAAAATTTAGGGGTGGACTACCCCTAATATTTAGGGGGATGAAATCCGATCCTCAGACCTACTCAATACGCTCACAAAATTTCATAAGAATCGGTCAAGCCGTTTCGGAGGAGTATGGGAACGAAAACTGTGACACGAGAATTTTATATATAAGGTAGCCTTCAATTTAAAGTCATCTACCTTAGTTTAGAAGAATATTGCCTCTTTTTCCCAACCAATAATTTAAAGAAAAATTTGCTTAACTTTATCCTATTGTACTGGAAAAAAAAATTACTTAGTTTCGTTTCTGTAAGTACAAATTTCAGGGTTTCTAGTAAGTACTTTTTTTACTTTATTTTAGAAATGTATTGAATAAGCAAACTTTTGAAAATACAGAAACGAAACTAAGTACTATTTTTCCAGTACAGTAGGATAAAGTTGGGAAGAATATTTTCTTAAAATTTTCAGTTGGGAGAAACGAGCAATATTCTTCTAAATTAAGTTAGATGACTTTAATTGAAAGAACTTTAAAAGAAGAATTATTCATGGCTATATTCCAAATGAAACCAAGCAAAAGTTTTAAAAATAATTGGATGTGATAATTACAATGTATAAACTAAGGTAGTTGACTTTAAATTGCTGGCTACAATTGATAGAAGCATTATTTAGGGATATACTCCCAAGAATAAAACCAAGCAAAAGTTACAATTTGTATCAAAAAGGATGAAATAACCATCACGGAACGTTGGTTTTTTAGAGAAGAATGGGCGAGAAAGTCAATTGGTACATTTTATATGTCAGTTAGTTTCAATCATTTAATGATTCAACATAACCTTTAAACATAATGTATATTTTAACATGTTTAAAATTAAAAAAAAATGTTATCTGAGCAACTAACGTCGTAAACAGTAGCTAGTATCATTACCTTAAATTTGTTTTTAACACTTTATTGAAAAAATACAATTTGAATTTGAATTTGAATTTAAAAAATAAGGTATACAATGGCGGACTACTGAAAGGAATGGTAGAAATAGAGAATAAAGAAAAAAAGCAATCGCAACGTTGCTTTAACTTTTGACGAGTATGTTTGGTTATAGAAACCATATGGATACTTAAGTGATTACGTAAGCATTCGTTTCGATAGGAATGCCAGCAATACACTTTTGCATGTTATACCCTCTCCAAATGTGTAACAGTAATGTTCAAAAGCTGGGAAATACATGTAGGAATAGAAATTTGTTTATCCAAGTAAAGTACATGCAATATAAGTATTATGTGATGAGACATCATACACATTCATACAAATGTTATCTGTCATCATTCTATTATCTAAATGAACCGGGTTATATGATCCCCCCTTTTTTGGTTAGTAATGTGGGCTATTAACACCATTGCTAGCAATGTACCATGTCAGGTTGACCTCCACGTGATTCCCTCTGGACACCATCGTGATAAATTTATAGTGAATTTGCCACGGGGTTAACTGAACTGACCTCATGCTCATCTGATCTTCTTCCACTTCTGCCAATGTACACCGTTACCGCAGGTTATCATCATCACCTTATCATCCATTAAAAAAAGGTTTTTTTTATGGATGATAATGTAATGGTACACCTGCCTGCGCTAACGGAAGATGATAAGATGAGCATGAGGTCAGGACAGTTAGCCCATCATGGGAAATTCACCAGGAATTTATCACGACGGTTTCCAGGGGGAACTTGTTATCAATTTATACTGCTGATATTTTGATATTTTCCTTCGCTACAGATCCTCATAAGAGGGTACTCGTTAGGTTAGACCTCTTTGCCGCGGCATAAACTCCAGAGCAACAGCTCTAAAAAAGTAAAACGGCGGAAAAGCAAAAGTGTCCATAACAGTTTTATGGTTAAGTTTTAAAATAAAGTATGTAGAAGAAAGTCGTTCGATATATGTGTATTTAACACACTCGGCTTTATTACGCCCTCACCTACGTGTCGGGCTAAAATCGCGTTGTGTGTTATAAACATCATAACGCACTTATATACTATCACTGTTTAAAAGATATATGGACATGTTATGTAGTATGTTAATATATAAAAAACAAAGTTATGAGCATCCGGACGAAGCTGGGCGGTCCACTACTCACAAATATGTATATAGATTACTACCTGTACTCGCGACTTCGTCCGCGTGGAATTTTACTTTATTTTTCTAAAAAAAAGTTCTTTTTAAATAAAAGTAGTCTAAGTTACTCCTTATTACATCAGCTACCTGCCTAAAAAAATCACGTCAAAATCGGTCCAGCCATTTCAGAGATTAGCAGGAACAAACAGATAGACAGACAAAAATGTACCGTATTTATATTCATTAGTATGTAGTAAAAATTATTATTTCAATGTTACAAACAGACACTCCAATTTTATTTATATGTATAGATTATTATCACTTGTCATAATCCACGTTGGACAGATTAGTGCAATAAATTATTGTGACACAATCTATAATCCGTGTTCACCATTTATTACTTTGTCGCAGTCAATTTAATAAACGCCCGTATTAATGTCATCGGTAACATGAAATAAAACTGATTGCGACAAGGTAACTATGACGTCACACTTTTAGATCTTTAGCGACTTGTCTGACCGAAATAATGTCGTATTTTTACTGCGTTAAGAAAACAATCATCTGGATGAATGGTGGTCCTCCACAGTGTGGTTTTTTAAAAACTTTTTGCCACGCACAACCAC